AGTGTGTGTGTGTGTGTGTGTGTGTGTGTGTGTGTGTGTGTGTGTGTGTGTGTGTGTGTGTGTGTGTGTGTGTGTGTGTGTGTGTGTGTGTGTGTGTGTTTGGGGGTGGGTGGCTCTGCTTTAATGAATGGTTGCCGGGTAGAACAGGAGGTGTGAGGGAGGAATTTGTTAATTATGAATGGAGCACTTCTCTGGATGTGAACTACACACAGAGTAAGTGTGTGTGTGTGTGTGTGTGTGTGTGTGTGTGTGTGTGTGTGTGTGTGTGTGTGTGTGTGTGGTATGAATGACCAGTATTTGTTTTTCAAAATCTACTGTAGGAGATTGTGCAAATAATATCCATTTTCAGGTCGTTTAGAATGACAGCATTTGAACTGTCATTCTAAACGTCCTGATCATTGAAGTGGACTCTATTTACCAATCAGCTTTGAGTATTCAAAATACAATACATAGTAAATACAAATGTGGCTATAGTTAAGAATAAATGATATTTATGTTCATATTTAGGAAATACTTGGACATCAACAGTATTTGGTCTGATGATGTCACAAACTTCTTCTAATTTATTCTGTAAGAGTATATAAAGAACGTTGATAGTTTCATTTTTTGTGGTCACTATGCATGCTATAGCTGTTATATTTATACGGGATTTGTTGAATGGATCAACTCCTTTTGTCAAACGCAGATTTTTTTTCAGTTTTGGAAGAAAATATTAATCTGGTCCATAACATTTTGGAATAACAACTTTCTTCACTCTGCAATCCCTGCATTGGACTATTTAAACCTGTCTAAGCTCTCCTGATAAACAGTGTCTCTCAAGGAAATCCCATTTGGCTGCTGTTTAATCTGAATGTTCCAGTGTGTACATTTCAGCAGTGATGATATCCTTACCTCTGGTGGAAAGCCTTTATGTGCACATCATCAGAGTGAAGCTCTCATCCCATTTTTCTTGTGGGTTCTCCACCTGCACAGCAGCAGTGTCAGTTTGGAGCACCTTGTTTGGAAGTTAACAGTCTCTGCCATCATTTAAACTGACTTAAACTTCACGGTCAGCTTTTTCCACACGGACCTGCTCTCTCTTAAAATAGACTTGTGTTTACAGTTGCAGGTTAGCTGCTCACAAATCTGGGTCCCTGGGCGCTTGGACTCTCGCACAAACACACTCACGAGACACCACTTTATTTGGATGAGGCAGGCAGTGTGTCTACACTGTATCTACAAAGCAGATCAGGGTCTAGTGTAAATACTGGCTGAATGTAAAAGGATACTTGGTAGTTGCTCATCTGTTTGAAGAATACATTGTTTTTCACCAGCATTTACTTTACAAAGCACACAAATAGCTGTAATGTACATATTGAATGTGGCTTTGTGTTCTTTCTGTGGAACAAAATCGTGTTTTAAATGTGCAATGAAACTCTTAGGTAGCATATTTTTGTGTGTATGTGCATGTGTATCATTATATGAACATGGCTTTTTTGTGTTTCTAGGGGCGACCAGAGACATTGGTTCAGCTCTAACCAGGATGTGCATGAGGCATCGCAGCATTGAGGCCAAACTTCGCCAGTTCACCAAGTAAGATACATGTCTTTCCTTCTCACTTTTTATCTCCTTGTTTACCTGCTAACTTTGCTTCCTTTCCTTTCTTTGAAGACTTTATACTCTGGTCCATCAAGGTTTTTCAGAAGTCTAAGAGAACTCATCGAATGCTGACCTTTTATTGTTGTGTTATGATTGGGCCAAAGCTTAGGGAGGTTCTTTGTCAGATGTATGACTTCCATTATGATCATTGCTCTGTCTGTACTAATTACAAATCACTGTAGGTGACTCCAACCATTGACCCATAACACATACCACCCTGGAAACCTCACCAACAGTCTGTTTACAACCATCATTTGCTTGTTCCTCCATTCTCTATCCTCTGTTATGATTTTTCCACAGCACAAACTATTATATTGATGGTGATGATAATGACGATGTTGATCTATAACCATGGTAATGACTGGGGTCTTTCCAATTCACTAGTGTGCCACCATTGTGTACGTTTTGCACGTTAACAGAAATATGTGTATGGATCTCATTCGAGAAACTTGGTGCTTGGTGCTTTGTCGTCAGAATACGATGTTGCTACTGTTTACACCAAAGCTTTTGCTTATACTGTCTGGGTGGAAGATGCATTGCACACATGTTAAGTTGATAGTAAAGCATATAGCATTGAGATATACGTGATGCAGACCATAGCAAACTTTCGTAACTCACCACATAGAAAGTATAACTGAAGTCAGACTCTTGTCAAGACACCACCCAATACAAGTACTTGTCCTAGGACAGTTTTGATTTAAACAAAGCAGCAGTTATTAATGTTGTGTTTGAACTGTCTCTCAATCTCTTCAATGTCTTTCACAGTGCTTTGATGGAGAGTCTGATCAATCCTCTCCAGGATAAGATTGAGGATTGGAAGAAGACAGCCACCCAGCTGGATAAAGATCACGCCAAAGGTACACACTGCTCACAGGTTATGATGCTAATTCATGACATCATTGCACAAATATCATCCACCCAACTGAAGTTGCTTTATTGTATAAAAGTGTGTAATGTCTTGTAAGGTGCTACTCTGTGGCTTACTAGTATTTTTAGGGTTAGGGTCATTTGACCGTTTATCAGCAGAAATACAAAAATACTTATAACCTGATTCAAGAGCAGAGATTGCCCTTCTAGTTTAAATGTTTGAAGGTTGGTTGGAAGTGAAGTATACTGTATTCAGACAGTAGATTCCTTATTCATCAATTATCCAGAACAATCACTTTATTCAACTAAGAGTCTCATTAAGATTAAACATGTATTTTACAAGAGTCCTGGTCAAGATTCAGGAGTCTTAGTTAAAACTCTAAAGTCACATGGAGTGGAAGGGTTGGGGTTAAGTCGCACTTTACTAATACCATTGTTGTAAAAGAAAAAAGCCTGAATAACTGATAAATGAATACCTGGTTTTGAGCATTATTAGTCAAGGTTGTTTATTATAATGTTTAATCGTTTGGTCCATTCAAGTTTTACAAAGTCCAAGGCTATGATTTGACTGTAATCTCTAAGGATCAGTATGTTTTGCTCTAACCAATGCAAAGTCTTTACCAGTTAGCTCTTGGCTTTATAGCTTCTGTAAGCAAGATAATATGAGTTCACACAGAGGGCTTTACATTCCTGCTACTAAAGCATCTCTGTCTGTCCCGTCTCCAGAGTACAAGAGGTCACGCCACGAGATCAAGAAGAAGTCATCTGACACCATGAAGCTGCAGAAGAAGGCCCGTAAAGGTAACGGTCAGCAGGAGAGCTCCGGCTCCTCTCACATTCAACAGGAAGTCACATTGTAGAGCTCAATCTGTTTTATTGCAAGCTTACAAAGACCACATCAATTATCTTCTGTCAATGGTTTTTATGTGTTGCTCCTATACTTTGTTTATGGACACTGAGTTCATTTATACATCTGTTATCTCTTTGATGGTGTCACTGTTGCTAATGAAAGGTAAATCCACACCAACAACAATATTCCCTTCGCCAAAAATCCCAAATGATGATTTATGGTTTGTATCTGATATGGATGCATTACACATTAACATAAAAACAGACAACATACAGTGATTGCATTCAGTGCCGACACACACACACACACACACACACACACACACACACACACACACACACACACACACACACACACACACACACACACACACACACACACACACACACACACACACACACATACAGAGAATAAGACATTCGCAGCACATAACAAAAGCTTTGGTTTACATTGACATCTAGAGGTGATCAGTGGTATTGCAGGTATTCTCTTATTTGTCCTGAAACATTTCACTTAATGATGAAACAACCAATGATAAGTGTGTTTTTATGGACCAGCTTTCATTTAGTCATTATGTCTGTAATGTACATTTCATAAGGTCTTTCTGTTTAATACATTAGTCTTGCGGTTAATCTCTAGGACTGACACTGTGCGCATCCTAAGATATTTTTTTAAATGTAATGATAGAAATGTGATACATATCTTGGTGGAATTATTATTATTATTATTATTATTATTAGTAGTAGTAGTAATAGTAGTAGTAGTAGTAGTAGTAGTAGTAGTAATAATAATAATGTATTTCTCTATTATTTTATATATTTTTTATTTATCAAAGGTGGGGTATGTCATTTTGGAGAAACCAGCTCGAGTGCGCTAGAATTTGAAAATACACAGCCGGAAAAAATCTGTCACTTCCTTCCAGAGCCCTTCCTCCAACACACACGAAGGCACACATGACCAATGAGGGCATGAGATCAGTTTGTGCACAGATGGAAGGCTGACAGGCAGGTAGGCCATCCAGTTATTTTAGCCGGGCCGGCTAAAATGATTGGTCGTGCTTTTTACAGTACTACGGCTTCCACAGATTACTTTGTTATGGATTTTTTGTCAAAGCACTTGAGATGTTAATTGCTATCGTGATGTTAAGAGCATTCCATGGAATATAACAAAAAGTGTATCTTGAGCCGGTTTCTCAAACTTACCTACTCCACCTTTTAGTAAAGGCGAAAGTAACACATAAATGGCAGAAATAGAAACCTTAAATCCCGATGCCTTCTTGATTGAGCTTTAAAATTATGTATTTTACCAAACAGAATTATTGTATGTATTATCTAAGGACCATCTTCATCTGGAACCCCTAGACTTGTTTAATGCAACATTTAATAAATCAAATGTGATACATTAAATAAAATCAGTGTCAATAGAAAAACATTGAATAATGCAACATTTGCTGAAACTGACAGGATAATAGCCCAGTTATGTTTGTATGTTTGCTGATGCTTGGTTCATGTATTATTTCTGGATGTTTTCGGTTGTGTTATTTTGCTCTAACCTGTGGCTCTGTGGCTGTCTTGTGATGGCTTCCTTTTATACTAACACTAACAATGAGTTCTGCTCTGTCTGCTCTCTCTCCCCCCTTTCTCTTTCCTTATTTTGCTTCCTTTTTGCCCCCCGCCCCCACTGCTACCGTCTCGCTGTCTCTCCCTCCCTGTGGTGTTTGTCCCCCTGTAATAGAGATCCAGGGTAAGTATCGCTCGCTACAGATCTGCTGCATCATCTCCTGTTTAACCCACATTCAGACTGTTCCTGCAGATTACCTTACAAGCATGTGTGTCGTGTAACAGTGTGTGGTTATCACTACTTTAGAGATACAAGGGGTGATCAAAAAGGTTCTTTGTGTATTAGGGAATTGTTTACAACATGGAAAAGCCATATAAATTGACTTCAGGTGACAAAGAGAGCAATGGACCAGGGCTGGATTAACTGAGTCAAAATAAAAGAGTCTATGGTTACATGAATAAGCATGATTTAATAACACAGAATCAGAATCAGTTTTATTACCAAGTAGGTTTACACATATGAGGAATTTGCTTTGGTATATGTGGTGCATACAAAGACACTGAAAGAAGAATTCGTAACAAAATAAAATACAATACAAATTGGACACATTTAAATATAAACCAAAATAACAAAAGCCTTGAATCTTCAGGGTTGAGAAAATTAAACTTGATTAAAATGAACCCATAAAACAATCTGGTTATTTTAATTAAAACTCCTGAAACACATTCACTTTCACCAATATATTTCTCTTCAAAGTTGGGTCTTTATTTGAATTCCTTTATTATTTAACCTTCATTAAACCAGGAATGTTCCAACAAGGTTATAAGAAAGAAATCAAGGGATACCTGGCTGAGACGTGCAGCAGCACAAATTAAAAGAACACAAAGTTACAGAAACAAACGCAAAGAAAGGGAAACAGAAATTAAAAGGAACCAATTATCACGCATATGTTAAAGAAGCAGTTTTTTTACAAGTTGAATTTAAAAAAACATTGACTAAAATAAATTAGCCTTTTACAATGTTTTGTATTTTGGATGTAACACATAGCAAGATCAATTAAATAATATCTTCCTGCAACACATTCTATAATCAGAATACACAAATGCACTTTTTTCTCAATGGGCATTTTGGGACATAAAGAAGTCCATCATTATTCTGTGATGAGGATACAAAGGTATTATTGCAGCAGACCAATCATTTCATGAAATACATTACCTTTTAGAGAACCACCATACAGTATGTTAACATCCTGAAACAACTGATGATGAATATATCCTTTCAGTTAGTTATTTTTCAGAAGTATAAATTGCATGAGTACGGCAGAAATATCTGAAAGGACAAAGTATGCTGCGAAACTGTGGACAGCTGCGGAGCACACAGCTATGATTTAATGACAACAGACAGGGATTTGCAGACCAACCCATGTTTGGTAAGTGCATTCTATTGTGCAGTTACCATAGCCTATGAGTAGAACAATATAAAAATAAGAAATATTATAACAACAAAGCACTCTTTATGGCCCCTGAGCTCCACGTAATGCACATTCAAATTAAAAGTTAAATGTTATCTTCTTGAAAACATATGTGAAAGGAGCTACCATGACTTTTTAGCAAACTACTGTAGTTGCAACACATGAGTTTTGAAGGGCTTTTTTTATTCTGGTGATAGACAGAGTTCAGCTTCTACAGTTTTTTTAGTTATGCAATCTTCTTCTCTGACTTCTGCATGACTTCTGCTATTATCTTTGTAGTCACACTGCAGGCTTTCATTTTGCTCTCATGCTGCCACTCGTCTCTTGTCCTCTCTTTCACTGCATGTTGTGACACTACAAATATATATTTCATGGCTGACTTTCAATGGATTGCACTAGTTTTTGTTAACAGTAGGTAGGATTGAGATGTTTTACACCATACTTATCCACTTATGTGTCCTTTTCTTTCATCGATGAATTTATGTGCAATCACAGAAAGTGACATTTTTAGGAAGAAACACATAGTATGTGTTTTGGCTCTGTGTTGTTATTACGGGAGATGTGCACACTCTCGCACATTATATGTGCACATAGCTTTTTTTATGGATACATTTAGACTCTAGTCTTAGTTACAACAAAAAACACAGGCCGTTGTAGACTTGTAGGCCTATAAATCATGTTTTACCAAGGTTATCCAAAGCTCTAATTATTGAAGTGAAAGGGCTCTCATAACCCACCATATGTTATTATGCCAGCACCAAACAGGGGACACACAAAGTTAGCGGCCAGCTACATGTGATGTTTAGCAGTTGGTGGAAACCAAAACAAAGCTCATAGACAGCGGTATTGATTCCATGTAACTTTTATATCCATTGGATTACAATGTCAAACAAGATGTTGCTGCTTACCTTGTTTCCCTGTGTTCGGTATGCTATGGTGACATTTCCTACACACACCTTCCACTTGCATTGTTTGCAACGTCATCTTCTTTCCTACTACTTCACCCACATCCGAAAACTTCTCATCTTCCGTCTTCTACCCTCATCTTCCCACTGAGCTGCTGGTTTCAATCTATTCTATATCATATGTGTTTCCCCCCCTGAAGGGCGAGTGGACCTGCAGCCCCAGCTGGACAGTGCCATGCAGGATGTGACTGACATGTGTCTGCTGATGGAGGAGATGGAGAAGCAGGCAGTCCGCCGCGCCCTGGTGGAGGAGAGGGGGCGCTTTTGCACATTCATCGGCTTCCTGCAGCCTGTTGTGGTGAGTGGGGGGGGGGCTATAGTCTAAAGCTCCTTACACACCAAACTGACACCAAAGAACACCAAACAACACCAAACAACACCAAAGAACACCAAAGAACACGTCCCGACGGAACGTCGCCTCACGTCGCCTCACGTCGCCTCACGTCTCCTGCGTAATATAAACAAACAACAAATAGCGTGTGCGTTCCATTTTCACTCTACAACGAGAAGCTCGTGGGGCTTTCCCGAACCTGTGTCGAGAGCTGGAGTTAAATGAAATCTCAGATTTGCCTTCTTAATAGTTTTTTTTGGGTCCCTCACTTCCGTTTCGCTTCTCATGCACTGATTCGCTAAGCTGAACAGCCAATCAGAGTGATTTCTTTGGCCGACAGCCTAGCGATTCAACATGACGAATCGGCGGTGGAAGGTGTCGGCACGGCCGAAAAGACACGACGGTGCAGTACACACCAATCTGAGTAGGGCGACAGAACGCTCATCAACGGCCCGACATCTATCAATGCCGAAAATCGTCTCGGTGTGTAGGACCTTAATAGTTGCTGAGCAGCAGAGAGAGATTGGGGTTGAGTGCCTTGCTCAAAGTAAATGAGGCTTGATCCAGAAATACTAAAAGTTACACTTCACTCATATTCACAACATACTGCAATTTATCTCACACAAGTGTGTGTTAGTCTCCCATGGTAACAGTGGATGTGACAGTTACACATTTTCACACCTTTCACAAGGATTGTGGCCAAAAACATCACGGTCAATTAAATGATGATGCATCAAAGTTGCACTGTGGTTTCTACCAAATTCCTTTTGAATTTTCCTTTGTGTTCTTCCTTGAGCTCATGAGTGTTTTTTTTACTTTAAAAGCGCAGTGCATGTTTCAATCATGTTTTGTAGAATGGAGAGATTGCCATGCTGGGAGAGATCACACACCTCCAGGCCATCATTGATGACCTCACTGTGCTGACAACTGATCCTCACAAACTGCCGCCAGCGAGTGAACAGGTAACACACACACAGACACACAAACAAACACACGTGCGTGCTGAAAGGAAAGAAACTAGTTCTCTCTCTCTCTCTCTCTCTCTCTCTCTCTCTCTCTCTCTCTCTCTCTCTC